GCTGAAGGTAAGCTCCCTGTGGGTGCAGGTCTGTTGTGATGGGGGCAGAGGTATCTGCAACAAGGTCTAATGATGCTTTGGGGGTACATAAGAATAATTTTTCCCCAAGTATAAATGAAATTAACTTCTATGAGGCTTTGCATCTTTGTTATGAGCATAAAAACATTTCAAGTATCAACATCAGCTGTTTGTCTTCATCAGAATTTAACTGGTCATGAAGCACTTTTGATTTTCTTCATAACTGAAATACAAAATCTCTCTGTTGTTTCTTCTTTGTTGTTTTATTATTCCTTTGCAGGAAACAAAGTCTTAATTATTTCTTTGTTCCAGGCCCCCTTTCAGCACAGGAAGCTGTGTACACGCTCCCTCTCTCCCTTTTTTTTAAGGCAGAAATTATGCTGTCAATTTATTTCCTAATTTCCCCTGAATTTACCCCTTCATCTGTTTTCCCATTTCCTGTCACATACTTAATTGGTCTGGCTGATTTTTACAGCCACATCCAGCAGGCAATTTTTTTCCTTTCCTTTTTTTTTTGAACGGTCTAATGAATGGCTGCAGCATGGTGGAGCCAAATGTATATTATATGGCAGGAAAAGACAATCAAAATGTTTTAAAGTTTCCTCAAGATAAACTATAGAAAGAACTAAATGGAATTCTAGATCTGAGCTGGCCCCACTTTTAGCCTGTGGCTGTTAGCTAAATGAGGCTTCTAAAAAGGGTGTTTGTGTTTCTTTCTTTCACTTTCTAGGGGTGAAGATGCTATTGGAATCAGAGCACCAGCTTCAGTACTTATCCTCTCCCTACAGCTGCCTGACAGCTGTCCAGGGATAGCTCTCCAGCCCCTTGAGGGGACCAAAAGCAATCCAAATCTCAAGCAGAGGAATCAAAGTAATGCTGGGACTCAGTGTTACTTGTGGGGTGGATTGGATCCTAAACCTGTGCCTCATTTCTAAAATTGGGCTTCTGCCTTACTCAGAGATCTAGTCCCTGCTCATTAGGAGAAATGGATCCCTGTCTTGGTATCCCTGGTCTGTGGACACTCTGTGTCCAAAACTTTGTTCAGGCTCTCCAGAACTCAGGACCTTCCTCACTAGCCAGGCCTCCTCTCAGATCCCAAGTCTACTCCTTGAACCAAACTCTGGCAGTAAAAGGGCCTTGATGCTTGCACACTGGCCTCCCCAGGAGTTGTGCCTGCTTCCCCAGTTGCTCAGGTCATCCCTGTTGCTAGACCCTGTACCCCTCATTTCCTTTGACCCATCTGTAGCCACTTTGTGTTTGTATGAACTCTTGTCTGTGGTCATATCTGCTGGATTCCATGGTCTATCTATGATAACGGACTTACCCTGGACCTTATCAGTGTCCTGAAGGCTTGACACACCCCAGCAAGAGAGGGTACGGGGCTGAGGTCCAACCCTCCAGGCTGCCCTTCTAATTGTAATTCACAGGCCCTGTTGATACTGAGATGAGAGAAAAAATGGTCGTCTTCATTGTCAAAAAGTTTAAGGAATTGATTACTTTCAAGTCTAATTTTACTTTTTCAAACACGTCCAGGGCCTGTTAGATACAAGTTTTCCCTAGGATTCTTCAGAATTCTGATTCCAAAGTCAGGATCTTCACACCAAAGTAGCTTTTGCATGGGCATATGGGCAGGATTCTGTCCTTTTCAAAATAGAACATTTGTAATGGAGCATTTCCATGAGAATCCCTCTGGGTGGTTACATGCCAGGCTGATTGTTTCAGGGCAGGGAGAGGAGACCCCCAGAACCCCCAAACCTGCCTGCTCTAAATCAGTTCTGCCATCCACCACATCAAGACAAAACACATAAGACGTTTAATGGAAAGGAACTTGAATACAATTAGTGTGCAATACAGACAAGACAAAGAATAGAGTTTCCAAATCTAGCACCTGAAGTTACCACCCCTCATGGGTAAAAGTTCACCCAAACAGGATTGGCCCAAAGCAAGGCCCGAAAGTCTAAAGCACCTTCCAGTGAGGACGCATAGAAAAGGGTTAGAAATAGTCACACAAATCTGGGAGGAAAAGAGCAAAATCAAAATCAAGATAAAAGCTGCCATTGTTAACCTCCCCATGGGTTACATCTGTTCCAACCAGTCCAAGGCCAAGAAGCAAGCGCAGTTTCTTCACATGTCTCTCTGCTCCATGTGCCTCCTCAGGTCTCCTTCTTGCTCTCCACCCTACTTCCTTCCTTCCTCAGTCTCCTCTGCAGTTTCTTCTCCTCCCTGCTCAACTCCACCCTTCTTTTGGTGGGGCAGGGAACCTGGAACCTCCCCTTTTCCTGGGGACCACCCTGTTACATTAATTCCCTTGCCTTGTCTCCTTATCCCCTAGACTTCTCCTTGTTAACTGGCTCTAGTGCTCTGCCTATTCAGAGTTGACATATAATTGTGACATTGCTCCCAAATTCTAGGATGGGTGCTCCTCACCCCAGCTAATGGTCCCTCCATTCTCCCTATGACTCAAGCTAGAAACCTCAGAATTGCTGTTGTGACAGATCAAAAGGAGAGAGCCATTATCCATGTGATCAGAACTAAGGTCCTGGTGTCATCTTAGAAATTGGATGTAACCCTCAGCTCTTAATAGGAGAAATTCTATTTTGTTACTCTACTCCTAGGTCTCAAGAATTAATTTATGGAACTCAAATTCATAAGGGACTATATTTAACAAAGAATTCTGATTTGTATATTTATAATTAAAGGGGATTCTACTTTTCCTTTATTGGAATCTTTCATTTCATGATCCACAAGCCACTCATCCAGAAAGGCCTAAGTAGAGGGCTTATCAGGAGGTTCCTATGGTAGGAATAGACTCCAACAAAGGATTGCAGTTGTATTAAGAGATTTTAATTACAAATATCTAGAAGTAAGCAGTGTTTTTGGAGAGTATGCCTTTCTAACAAACAAGATTCTATTTTTTATACTTTATGTAAATGTGAGAATTATGGTCAACAACTCATGCCTGCTATCACTGTGATGACAGATGCTGAAGCTAGCTTGTTTCTACATGTTGCCTTACAGGGTGGCAGTGTTGGGTGTGGCATGGGATGAGAGAGATTACTCAAAGTCCATGTGAAGCAATGAGAAGCCTAGAGGGGCTGTACCCGAAGAGGGTGTAGAGGGGCTGTCACCCCAGTCTAAAAGCAGTCTCATATTTATTAGCATCAAGTACAAAGGTAGGACAAGCATGTATGGTGTGTACATACTGGGAGTGTACATGCATAGAGGGTGCATTATTGGGGATGTAAGGTAGGGTGGCATGACCAGGGGTTATTGCATGGGGGCCTCCATTGTTCCTGCCAGTCTAAGCATATAATCTCTATTCTAGTACCCGCCTGCTGTTTTCAGCAGATACTGGTTTCCCAGTATGTTCCTCATACCAGGACTTGTGCCCTTGGTGAGAGGCCCCCTGAATGACCCTACACCTAGCTGACAAGCAGGAGCTCTGGGCACCAAGATAATATCCTCGAGAACAAAGATGTGGGTATGAGAACAAGTGTGGGGCTAGGGACCCCACACCTACATTTATTCACGAGAGTGGAGCAACTAGGGAGCATTTACCCAGTGTCAAGTATACTTTCTCTCAATCTCTCACTTAATCCTTACAACTCTATTAAATAGATGCTACCTATCCTTGTGAGATGAATTATTACCCCTCACCCCTGCCAAGATATGTTCATGTCCTAATCCCAGGCTCCTATGAATGAAACCTGTTAGGAAATAGGATTTTTGCAGTGACTGTTAAGATGACATCATATTGGATGGGTCCTAAGCCCAATTGGTTAGTGTTCTCAGCAGAAGAAGACACAGACACAAAACACATAATGGGAGGATGATGTGAAGTCAAAGTAGGAAAACACCATCTGAGTTTCAAAGTTAAGAGGCTGGAGTGATGCAGCCACAAGCCAAGGAACTCCAAGGATTCAAAGCTAGAAGAGGCCAGGAAGAATTCTTCCCTACAGCCTTTGAAGGAAAATTTTCCCTGCTGACACCTTGATCTTATAAACTTCTAGCCTCTAGAACTTGAGAGAATAAATTTCTGTTTTTTAAACCTCCCTGTTTGGAGTACTTTGTGAAAACGCAACCCTCTGAAATTGACACAATCTACATTTTATCAATGAGGTAATGAATGCCCAGAAAAACTAATTTACCCAAAAGTGCTTAGAACTCCTGGACTCCAAAGTGAACACTCGGTAGTTGATCAGACCTATTAGATGGGAATTCTCTTTGATTAAAAAAAAAAAAAGGCTAGCAGTTCTTACAACAGACTAAAAAACAGAGACCCAGACTATCATACTCAGGTCAAGAAAATATATGCCCTCAAACCATATTCCAGATAAATTATATAATAGCATTAGCATTTCACAGGTAAGATTTTATAGAACAGGGCCTCCCCTGGTGGTGCAGCGGTTGAACACTGGGCTGCAAAGCTGCCTGCAGCCTCTGCAGCACCAGTTTGATCCCGGCCGCAGGCAAGGATCCCACTTGGCGCGACAGACCTCTCCTGCCGCCCGCTGCTCCCCTCAGCAGTGTATTTCGTCAGTCTGCCTGTTCTGCTCCCCGCTCTGGCTCTGGTGAATTCTCTCACCCTTCCGCACTTCTGACTGTACCCAGTGCTTGTATAAATAAATAAATCTTTAAAAAAAAAAAGATTTTATAGAACAGTAGTCCTGTAAGACATTAGCATGTGTTAATATGTAAAGAATGTTTTCAGGATCAAAAAGAGGAAGGATAGCCCTTCGGAGTTTTTCCTCCCTGTGATGACACCATGAACTGTTAATATGCATTATAAATCTCTAAGAGAGAGATGTTAGAGCTTGCTGTTTCTTAGGCTGATTTGAATATTGGGAGTCTTTTACAGAGCATCTTGATGGAATTCATAATCTGTGGAAAATACTTTGGGAAGAACTAAGTTAAAGAAAAAAAGTTCTTATTTTACATCATTTACATGCCAATCATGCTTTCTGCATTACCTCTTCATATAGGTCTCTGAGAAGAATTTGAAAATATCCTTGTTACATGAGAAATATATTTGCAACTGTCACTTAGGTAGGTTAATTTAATCTTTTACCATCCTCTTTAATTCTTTAGATCATTATGTGGATTCTCATTGTGAATGTGTTCTAGACAAAGGCCATTAGGAACATGCCTGCAGTTGAACAAAGTTGGACTTATTGATTTCTATCACAGAAGGCACAACGTACAAAACTGGGATGGCTCATAAAAAGGATGTTGCAAAGGAATTGTTATAGGATTTGTGCTAATGTTAGGTAATTTGGGATTAAGTTTCAAGGAAGCAAGACTTTGCAGAAGCAAAATTGGCTAATGGTTCTTATAACAGACTGAAAAATAGAGACCCAGAATATCATATTCATGCCAAGAAAATATATCCTCTGAATCTACCTGTTCTTTTCTAGACATTCAAGGAGAAATTCCTCCCTCTCCTACACCCATCAGGGCCTGTTTTTATTCTGATGATTCCCATGTAATTGAGTCAGAACTCCTAGTGCATGTTCAGACTTTTCATGACAAAAAAAGAAAAAATGTTGTGTATCTAAAATCCAGGGAAAAAATCTTTTGACACAGTACTTTTAGAAATTTTTGTATTTAAGTGTGTGTATGCATCTTTTAACTTAAAAAATGTGTCCTCCTTGAAAGATAATTATGTCAATATTATCATCTGTTATGTAAACCTTAGTAAGAAAATCAGTTTTCTTTGTAATTTGTCAGTCTTTTATTACTTAATTTGGCAAACAAAAGTGCTGTCATAATAGTTTCAAATTAATTAAATTTAAAGCATTGTTAGAAATATATTCCCATGTCCCTCTTTACATAGGATTAAGTAATAATCTTGTGATACCTCTGGCCTTTGTGGTTAACTTACAGATAGTTTGTCACAAAAGCCATATTAATAACTTCCTTATTCTGCATTTGGGGAAGGAAGCAATACAAGTTAACATAATATTCTATTGATAAAAATGAATTTTACTAATATGAGCTTAAAATAATTATTTTACATTAGAAAACCTAAATTCTAATTTTGCTCTTTTTGTACACTATTACTATAACAAAATGTTAATAGGTAATAAATGTAAAATGTTTATAGTTTTAAATTAAATCTGTTAAGTAAAACAATGTGTATCATATTAAATTTGCCTTCTGAATTAACTGTTTTCCTAATAAGCAACAAATTGTATCATTATTTTATATGCAATATATATTTATCTCTTTTATGCAAGATATATTAATTATTAATATCTTTTTAAAAGTTTTTTTATTTATTTATGCATATAAGAACTGGGGTACAGGCCAGAGCTGTGGAGGGTGAAAGGATTCACCCGAGACAGAGTGGGGAACAGAACAGGCAGATTGACTGAAATACACTGCTGAGGGGGCAGCGGGCAAGTCAGGAGGGGTCTCCTGAGCCATGTGAGTAACTCCCTGCCCGGGGATGGAACTCATGCCGCAGTGGCTACGTATTGCTTCATAGGTTGCGTCTTAACCCCTTGCGCCACCAGGGAGGCCCCTAATCATTACTATCTTTAACCAAGGTAATCAAATTTTCTTGTCTTGAGGCGCAGAAAAAGAGAAAAATCAAGAATTATTTAGATATGTTTCTGTGTACTAGCTTTCATTTCATGTAGTTTAAACAATTTTGATGTATAATCATATGTTATCATTTGCATATTTTGTTCATCCACTGCCATCTAAGAAACAAAGATTATATTAATGATATGAATTTCTTTTGAAGAAATAGTCTATGCATCCAAAGATTATTAATTAACTTAGTTATTTGTCTGAAGTCTTTTAAGTTAGTTGTAGGGATATTATAATTTTAGCAATATATTATATCTTTAGGATTTACAGTAATGTAAGAATTTCATAAAATTAAACCTTTTAAAAAGGCATTTGTGATTATTATTAGTTGAAAATAACTTTACGTATAATTTTAAATTTTAAACAAGTTGTAGAAATAGCAAACTTTAAGTCATTAAAACCAATGTAAGAAATTCGATTTAATCAAAATGAAACAGAAAACCCAGAATAAAAGAGGATGACACCAATTGGCCATTCCTCCCATGCTTTTGATTGCAGTCAGGACTCAAAACAGATACACAGGGAGAAAGGACAACAACAGAATTTATAGGGAGTGAGACAACAGAGAGCTGAGAGTTTATAGACTGATGCGTGACCTAATACAGTGTCCTGCTCCAGATAGTGTCTGTGTTGCAGAATCCTAGTTAAAATTTACACATAGAAGATGGCGCTGCCTCACCAAGGAGAGGACTGGAGCTGGCCACACATGGTGAGAGGAGGCAGGCCTTGTGGGTAAGGGCATCCTGCCCGGCCCTGTTGGCAAATGCTGGAAGCTGGGCCAGTGTAGTATGGTCAGCTGCTGAGCCCTGAGCACCAGCTGGTGGGCCCTGGGCAAACCCAGAGCACCAGCCATGCATGTGGGGGACAGGGCGTGGCAGCCAACTTCAGAGGCGGTTGCACAGCAACTGGAGGGCAAGGAGACGTGAAGAGAGCCAGCGACCAATGTAGTGCCAGGATGGGCGCAGAGCAGGTTTTTCTTCTATTGGAGCAGACCGGGTAAAGGAGAGTCCTGGAGCCCTCCGTGGCTTTCTCAGGCTTTTATTGAGATTTTACATGTAGTGCAGCAACCAGATATAATGGTGGGAGAGCAAAAAAGCCTGAAAACCATTTACCCTACAGCTGTACTCTTTTGATCGCTATGGCTTGATAGCATAATTTGAAGTCTGGGAGACTGATACCCCCTTCTTCTGCTTTTTGATTAGGATTGATTTGGCTGTCTGAGGTCTTTTGTGGTTCTGTATAAATTTCAATAATTTTTGTTCTATGTGAAGAATACCACTAAAGCTTTGATAGGAATTGCCTTTAATCTGTACATTGCTTTCAGTAGGATGGGTCATTTTACCAATGTAAATTCTTCCAATCAATGAAAAGAGAATATTTTTCCATTTCCTTGTGTCATCTCTTATTTGTTTTAATAATGTTTTAAGGTTTTCATTGCACAGCTTCTTCACCTCCTTTGTTAAGCTTATACCTAGATATTTAATATTTTTTGATGCAATAGAGATAGGAGGTTGTTTTCTTGATTTCTTTCTCTTCCAGTTTATTGTTTGTATATGTGAATACAACCAGTTTTTGTAGGTTGATTTTGTAACTTACCACTCTACTGTAGTGATTTGTTATTTCTAATAGTGTTTTAGTGTAGTTTTTAGTGTATATTTAGTGTAGCTTTTATCATATATCATCATGTCATCTGCAAATTATGATAGTTTTACTTCTTTCCCAATTTGGATTCCTTTAACATCTTTCTCTTGTCTTATTGCTCTAACTAGGACTCCCACTACTATGTTGAATTGTAGTGGCAAACATAGATATCCTTTACTTATACCAGATCTTAGTGGAAAACCTTTTATCTTTTCACCATTGATAATGTTAGCTGTGAGTTTGTCATATATGACCTTTATTATGTTGAGGTATGTTCCGTCTATCCCCATTTTTGAGCTTTTATCATACATTCTTTTTTTAAAAAGACTTTTTTATTTATGCATACAAGAACTGGGTTATAGGCCAGAGGTGTGGAGAGTGAGAGGATTCACCAGAGACAGAGTGGGGAACAGAACAGGCGGATTGACTGAAATACACTGCTGAGGGAAGCAGCAGGCGAGTCAGGAGAGGTCTGTTGCACCATGTGGGTACTCCCTGGCTGGGGATTGAACTCGTGCTACAGTGGCTGCAGATAGCTTCATAAGTTATGTCTTAACACCTTGCACCACTAGGGAGGCCCTTTTATCATTCATTCTTATCATAAATATATGATTAATCTTATCAAAATGCTTTACTACCATCTATTACTATGACCATATGATTCTTATATTTCCTTTTGTTGATATGGTGAATTAGCATTCATTGATTTTTGGATGTTGAAGCTCTTTAAATCTCTGGAATAAATCATGATTGATTCTTTCAATGCATTATTCAATTCAGCTTGCTAAGATTTTGTTGAGGATTTTTGCATCTATATTCAACAGGGATATTGGTCTGTAATTTTCTTTTTTTGTGTGATGTCTTAGTATGCTTTTGGTATCAAAGTAATACTAGCCTCAGAAAGCGTGTTTGGAAATATTCCATTTTTCCTAATTTGGAAGAGTTTGAGAAAGAGTTTTAGTTCATCTTTGAAGTTTGGTAGAGCATGCTTGTAAAATTATCTGGCCTGGGATCTTGAGTCTTGGGAGATTTTTGTTTACTCTTTCAGTTTCCTTACTTGTAATTGGTCTGTTTGGGTTTTATATTTATTCCTCATTCAGTTTGGAAGATTGTATAACTTTAAGAAATTTTCCATTTCTAAAAAAACAAACACAGGATGGCTTCACGTATATATAGAATATAGAGAAACCAAAGAAAGGTCAAAAAAAAAGTTAAAACTAGCAAGCTGACCATAAAACTGAGGCATACAGGGGCCTCCCTAGTGGCACAGAGGATAAAGTGTCAGCATTATCAAGCTATCACCAGCCACTGAGGCATGAGTTAGTCCCCAGCCAGGGAGCTAACCCCTATGCACAGGAGACCTCTCCTGTCTCACCTGCTGCTCCCCTCAGCAGTGTATTTCAGTAGATCCGCCTGTCCTCCTCCCCACTCTGTCTCTGGTGAATCCTCTCACCACCCTCCACCTCTGGTCTAGTCCCCAGTTCTTGTATGCATAAATAAATAAAAATAAATCTTTTAAAAAAAAAGAACTGAGGCATACAGCAAAGAGGGAGGTGGGAGGGGGGGCAAAACAGTGGACAGAAGAACACAAGGGAATATGGTGATGGTTCATGGGTGATAAGATAGTGGGAGAACTATGGGGATGATAATGATGTAAAAAACATTAATAAAAAAATTTACAAAAAAGAAATTTTCCACTTCTTTTACATTATTCAATATTAGCATGTAGATAGATGTTCAAATTAGTCTGATGGCCCACTTTATTTCTGAGATGTTTGTTGTTACTTCTCCTCTTTGATTTCTGATTCTGTTTATTAGAGTTTCCCCCTTTTCTCCTTGTAAGCCTAACAGAGGTTTGTCTATTTTATTTTTCAAGAACCAGTTTTTGGTATCATTGATCTTTTGGACTCTTTTTGATTGCTATTTCATTTATTTATGATTATTATTATTATTATCCTTCCTTCTACTGGCTTTTGGTTTTGTTTGTTCTTCATTTTCTAACTCCTTAATGTGTAAGGTTGGATTATTCATTTGAGTTCTTTCTTATTTTTTGATGTGAACCTGTATTGTTATATACTTCCCTCTTAGTACTGCTTTTGCTGTATCCCATAGATTCTGGTATTCTATGACTTCATTTTCATTTGTCTAATGTATTTTATATATATATGTGCATGTATGTGTGTAAACATATATATACACATATTAAAAAAGTAAGGTTTTCACATTCCACTTAAACTGGTAAAATGATGATGCCAGTAGACTGTGACAAATTTTATATATATAAAAACATACATATCTATAATGTACATTATATATACACATACATATATATACACACATATAAAAATAAAGTATGAAATCCTTATTTCCTTTATGTCACTTTACCCTACCTTATTTATAATATATTTTGTCATTATTACCATTTATGGTCATGATATAATAGTTTTTGTGTTTATTGTGCTTGTTTTTCTTTTCTGATATTCCTTTTGTTAAAATTTATTCTTTTCTTAGTCATTCTTTGACGGTAGGTCTATTGACTACAAATGCTGTTAGGTTTTCATCATTTGAGAATCTCCTGCTTTCTCCCATATACCTGAAGGATATTTTTGCTGGTTACTGGGCTTTTCTTTCAGCAGTTAAAAATGTGTCACTTCCTTCTGTCTTCCACAGATGCTGATGCAAAACCTGTTGTTCAATAAATTTAGACTGCAGTGTCACAAGGCACTCATATCAACATGGGCATAAGCTAAAATTCTCTAAGTTTAATACTTTAACTTCAATGCAATAAATTATTGTTTATTCAGAATCCCAGGAATCTATCATGAAATGTAAACGTGCATATTATGAAGACTTAACCAATGATTTTTTGACTCAAGTTTAAAAAGAAAAGTTAATACTTCTCCCAGTTTTATTAAAAACTAGGAAGATATAAGCAGTGAAGAGAAAGTAACTATTTTGTCTGTGTCTCTTTTTTTTCAATCCAGCACAGAAAAAAGACTTCCATCCTTTCTTCTGTCCATCTCCACCTCAGAAATGGGACCCAATGGCAATTTTAGTAGTAATGACAGCAACAGCAACTGCATAAGTGAAGACTTCAAGAAGAATTTTTATCCCATTGTGTACTTGATAATATTTGTCTGGGGATTCCTAGGTAATGGCTTTTCCATATATGTTTTCCTGCAGCCTTATAAGAAGTCCACATCTGTGAATGTTTTCATGCTAAACCTGGCCATTTCAGACCTTCTGTTTATAAGTACATTGCCCTTCAGGGCTGACTATTACCTCAGAGGCTCCAATTGGTTATTTGGGGATATAGCCTGCAGGATTATGTCCTATTCCTTGTATGTCAACATGTACAGCAGCATTTATTTCCTGACCGTGTTGAGTGTTGTGCGCTTCCTGGCAACAGTTCACCCCTTCCGGCTCCTCCATATCACCAGCATCAGGAGTGCCTGGATTCTCTGTGGAATCATATGGTTCCTTATGATGGTATCTCCAGCAATACTTCTGAAAAATGGCTCTGAGGAGAAAGGCAATGTCACGTCATGCTTAGAACTGAATCTCAAGACAGCTCCTAAATTAAAGACTATGAACTATGTCGCCCTGGTGATGGGCTTCCTGTTGCCATTTTGCACACTTAGCATCTGTTACCTGCTAATCATCCGAGCCTTGCTAAAGGTGGAGGTCCCAGAATCAGGGCTGCGGGTTTCTCACAGGAAGGCATTGACCACCATCATCATTGCCTTGATCATCTTCCTCCTGTGTTTCCTGCCCTATCACGTCCTGCGAACCCTCCACCTGGTTGAGTGGAAAAAGAACAAATGCATGGACAAGTTACATAAATCTGTGGTCATCACACTGACCTTGGCAGCAGCCAACAGCTGCTTCAACCCATTGCTCTATTACTTTGCTGGAGAGAATTTTAAGGACAGACTAAGGTATGCATTCAGAAAGTGTAATCTACAGAAAACAAAGTGCAGCTTTCCTATCTGTGTATGGTCAAAAAAGGAAACACCAGTGTAAGGTTTTATTAAGTGAGGCTTGTTCTTGTATCCTTGTGTCCACCTTCATTCTCACATCACCTCCATAGTGACCCTGTGTGCACATTCCAACAAAAGTCAATTCCTAACATCTGTTGACCATTATTTTGTTAATAGGACCATCCTTAAAATTTTCATTTTGTGTATTTTCAGTTGTTGAGTCTAAATGAAGAATGAAGGAGGAAAAATCTCTATTAGACTCTTTAACCTGAAATGTTAGACTGGGAAAAAATATTGAGCACTGTATACTGAACCATATTTTTGGTCTACCAGGCATTCCAAATTACTAATTTTAAGATAACCTTAACTTCCCTCAGCTTCTCCAATTCTTCTTCCCTTTTCAATCCCTGGAGATATAGCCAATTAACAAAATTACTGGAGGCCCAGAGCATATAAGAAAAGCACCCTAAGATATGAGGAGAAAGACTTTGTGATAAGGAAGCCTGCTTTCTAAGAAAGCAGAGTCAAGGTCTCAAATAAGAACAGTGAAAGCAAAAGAAGGCGAAGTCTTAGGGCAAGAAAGATCTGGTAAGAAGGTGGAGGAAGTAGGGACTTCATTTTGCATTGAGGGAGTGCTGTAGCACACTGAAGGCAAAAATGTTCCCTTTGTCTCTCTCTTTCTAGGAGATTAAGAAGGACAGGAAACACAAGAAGAAGACCTAGGGCATTACTCTAGGGAATGGAAAGGTTGTGTGGAATAGGGGGAAATTTAACTTTACTCTTGAGGTTTGTTTTCAATGACTTCACTGAAGTTCCCACTTCTGTCTGATAATCCATTGGGGTGAGAGCTAGAATTGAGGTGCCTCTGAAGGGCTCCTTGGGGTACCATGATAACTTTATAAACATTCTTGGGGTTAAGTCTCAGCACTATCACCTCTACAGCGTGAGTTCAATTCCCAGCCAGGGAGCTAACCCACATGGCACAGCAGACCTCTCCTGTCTCACCTGCTGCTCCCCTCAGCAGTGTATTTCAGTAGATCTTCCTGTTCTGCTCCCCACTCTGTCTGGTGCATCCTCTCAACCCTCGTGCTTCTGGCCTACACCCCAATTCTTCTGTGCAAGAAAACAAACAAAAAAAAACAATCTGACAGAACATGAGTAGGGTGCCATGGAATTTCCTTTTGAGAGCACTGGATGGTGGGAGGGGTCCTTTCTGTGCAATGAAACAAGGCTAAGGATACTACTAACTTAACTATCATCATCATGACCACTGTCCTGCCAATAGTGAGTGCCCTCTTCATGCTGGATGGACTGTGCCAGCACCTCGCACTCATTAATATATCTTAACCCTCATACTAAAGCCCAGTGTTTCCATTTTATAGATGAGGAAGCTGAAGTTCAGAGAAATTAAGAAACTTATTCAAATTCACACAGATAGTAAGAATTTTAACAACACCAGTGCAGAATGTTGACTGGACACTAACCTTACTGCTAGCCCTGAAAACCTCCAGGAGGGTTGGTTGAAAGTCTAAGTGAAAGCGCCTTTCTCCACCAAGCCCCTACCTCTTCTCACTATCACTGAATACTGAGGTTTTCACTTTAGAGTTGTTGACTGTTGGCACTGGAGGGTGGGAGAGAGATGGTATTTGAAGCCAAGGAGGGACTAAATTGAAGACTTCATAGTAAAGTGTCTCAGTGTTCTTCCCTCCCTCAGGAGCCAGAAGCCTAGAGGATCTTTTTGGTAGAAAATGTCCAGTCATGAAAAATTACCAACAGGTATTGACAGTGGAGATTACCCTAATAAAAATAGGTCTCTCACCTACTCTTTACTTGACAGTATAGGGACACTAATCCCTTCCTCTCAAAGCCTTTAACCAACCAATTAGAGCCTCACTTTTAATAGGGATCAATCAATGACTACTACGTGTTGGAGGAAAAAGCCTAAACAGGAAGCGTGCCAACAAATAAAAGAGCCAACAAGAGCCAACAAGGGACATTTTCAGTATGAAACATCTTAACTTTTTAAAATCACTTTTGCAGTTTTTATCAGATAGTACTGGAGGATGTGCTCCTCTAAAATAAGAGATTAAACCATGATAGAGGAGAAATATGGCATCTAGAAAATAAGGAAAACAACACAGTAGAAAGATGAAGAAAATTCCCAGGATGTTTGCGTATAGCAGAGTAATAAGAAACTGATTTTCACTTTGGGAGGTATTTACGTTTTTCTTGGAGATAAACGTGGAGATCTTGGAATGGATATCAAAAAATAAATGAAAAGATTGTCATTACTAGATCCTAGGGCCAGAGAAACTGTTGTGTAAGAGAGAAATATAATTGTAGCACACTACATGGCTCAGTTGTGAATAGCATTTACATACAGGACAATGTAAACAGAAAAACACTGATAAAACTTCTCTCAAAAAATGAGGGGCAGGGATAAGTACGCAAGCGGGAAGGGATAAGAAATCTAAGCCCCCATCTTACATTACTGAAAATGCTTAATAGTGAAAGTTAAACAATGATGTATAAAAAATGTTATTTAGCAACAGCTAAACTGCAGAACAATGATAAGAATTGACAGAGATTGCATCTGGAGGGAAACTGAGGTGGGAAGTTTTGGTGGGGACTTTTCCTTTTAGGAACTATTTCATTGTCTAACTTTCAAATATGTATTGCTGAAATGAAATAAAAATTAAGTTGAAGTTAAATCTTAAAGCTCAAATTAATTCTGAGTTGTTTTTTTGTTTTTTGTTTTTTAATGGAGAAGGCTACCAGGAGTAGAAATTGAATATCAATAGGAGAAAGGAAGCAGGAAATGACTGGATTTGGATTTGATAGAGGCCTGCCTACTTCTTCCATGGGAGAGGGGTTCTCTCTTTGGGTGAGGGCAGGCATTTCCTGGGTTTACAGGTGATTTGGATGTCAGGTTATTTGTAGCTGCAAGTAACAGAAAACCAAGTAGCTTAAACAATCACTGTCTTCTAATTGAAACAAACAAAAGGAGTTGGACTTCAGGCTCAATTAAACTAGGGTTTCTCCATAAAATATATAGTAGAAAACATAGGCAAAAGACTACATGACATACACCTCAGTAATATCTTTAAAGACACATCACCCAAAGCAAAGATAGTGAAGGAAAGGATAAACAGCTGGGACTACATCAAATTAAAGAGCTTCCGTACAGCAAAAGAGGCAGTTACCAAATCAAAGAGACACCCCACGGATTGGCAGAAAATTTTTATATACAATACTAATGATAAGGGACTAATCATAAAAATCTACAAAGTACTGACGAGACTCAACAAAAACAAAGTAAATAACCCAGTCAAAAAAAATGGGCAGAAGTGCTAAACAGAAATTTCTCCAAAGAGGAAATGCAAATGGCCAACAGGCATATGAAAAAATGTTCAACATCACTTGTAATCAGGGAAATGCAAATCAAAACCACAATGAGATACCATCTCACACCAGTGAGAATGGCACATATTAAAAAAACTAGCACCAACAAATGTTGGCGAGGATGTGGAGAAAAAGGAACTCCCCTGCACTGCTGGTAGGAGTGCAAACTGGCCCAACCACTATGAAAAGCTGTGTGGCGGTTCCTCAAACTGCTAAAAATGGAGCTCCCATATGACCCAAAAATTCCACTCCTAAAGATCTACCCAAAGGACACAAAAACATTAATTCAAATGGACACCTGCACCCCTATGTTTATTGCAGCACTATTTACAACAGGTAAGCTACAGAAACAACACAAATGCCCAAAATAGATGACTGAATCAAGAAGATGTAGTATATATATGCAATGGAATATTACTCAGTAATCTAAAACAATAAAACTCATGCCATTTGCAGCAACTTGGATAGAGCTGGAAGGGATCTTGCTCAGTGAAATAAGCCAGAAAGAAAAAGAAATATGCCGAACAGTTTCACTTTTAGGAGGAATGTAGAGGACCCAAATAAGGGATCAGGAAAATAAATGAATGAATGAAGAGTAATTATAATAAAGTAAATATCAAAATTAACAGGCAATCATAAATCAGAGACATTCTACAGGGGGGACGAGGGGAATAGGATCAAAACAGGGGTGGAAAGAGCACAAGGGACTGGGGTGATGGTACATGGATGAATTGGTGGTGGGAATTTCACAGGGACTATAGTTGAGATGAGAAAACATACATTGTACAAAAATGAAGAATGATGTAAAAATATGTAAAATTTAAAAATAATAATAAAAATTCTTAAAATGGAAAACAAATAAATAAACTAGGGTTTCTGTGAGCCTTCCTCTCTGGATATTGGCTTGGTCCCATGGCTGAATCTTCTGAGAACAAGTTGATCGCAAGCAGCCTGAGGCTCTGTGCTTCTTTTCTTGTATCCAGGATAAGTACAGGGTATCTGCTACCCAAGTCATTTGATTAGTCCTAAACTTATTTTTAACTGGACCTACTCAGATTAACACCAGCTCATAAGCTAAAGCAAAAAAGGGTCTGCTTTAATATGATGAGGATGATTAGAGTCCACACCTACAGAGAAGTTTGCAGTTAAACCTGTTCAAATCTCCATAGGGAAAGGAGTGAAAAGGGGTATGTGGAGGCCACGTTCTGCACTGAAAGTAGAGTGGAGAGAGAACTGCAGGTCAGCCAGGCATCCATGCTGGGTATGGCTTTATACCCAGCAAGATCAGTAGCTGAAGAGGATAGAAGGAAAAATAGGCTTGAGGAGGAAGGGTGAAAGCTAAAATATAAGCTTATATTGTGAAATCAGAGATTTTCAATGGCAATCACAAATTTCAACAACTTTCCATGGGTAAAATAACCCAGATAGAGCTGGGAATCTGAGTGTAATCAAGGTTCCTGGGACTAACAGTAATGGACGTGTATGAGCTATTAGTGTCTTTAAGCCTAGGGGTGTGTATTTGTGTGTGTGTGTGTGTGTGTGTGTGTGTGTGTGTGTGTGTGTGAGAGAGAGAGAGAGAGAGAGAGAGAGAGAGAGAAAGAGAGATCAAAAGTTATTAAGAGGTGCGCAGACCCCTCCTGCCGCCCGCTGCTCCCCTCAGCAGTGTACTTCGGTCCTTCTGCCTACTCTGCTCCCCACTCTGGCTCTGGTGAATTCTCTCACCCTCCCGCACTTCTGACTGTACCCAGTGCTTGTATAAATAAATAAAAATAAATTAATTAATTAATTAAAAAAGAAGTTATTAAGAGAGAGGGGAAAACTGGTACCAGGCAAAATCAAGGGATACCAGGACCCCAAACTTTTAAGAAGAAAAATATATGTTGCCATTTGTAAGCATTCATGTTCACCCATATGGGTAAAATCAAACTAATCAAACTCTGGTGTGTCCAAAGATTCTTAATTGGCAAGAGGTTCAAAGGGAATAGACAGTGGGAGAAGATGAGTAGGGGAGAAAAAGATTTCAAGATATGGACTCTCAAACACTGAAGTCAACCATCCCCTCATGGCCAAATGTTCAGCCAAGCAGGCAGGACCGAAAGTCAAGTGGTCAAAGCCCAAGAGCAGACCCTGCAGGAGAACGAATCCAAACCAACCTCCTGGCCAGAAACACAAGGAAGAGATTGTTCAGAACCCAAAGAGCTGGGAGAGAAGAGAGAACCAAAGTTTAAAATGGGTTACCTGGGGCCTCCCTGGTGGTACAGCAGGTTGAGTGCAGTGCTCTGAAGCTATCCGCAACCTTTGGGGTGCGAGTTCGAGCCCCAGCTGGCAGGGAGCTACCCACAGGGTGCGGCAGACCTCTCCTGTGTTGCCCACTGCTGCCCCTCAGCAGTGTGTTTCTGTCCATCTGCCTGTTCTGCTACCCGCTCTGTCTCTGGTGAATCTTTTCAACCCCCATGACTCTGGCCTGTACCCCACTTCTAAAACAAATTTTAAAAAAATAATAAAATGGGCTACCAAGCTGAATCCACCAGAGAGCAAGACAGCTTCTGCCACAGTCCCTCAAGAATGCAGGGGCATGCCACCTGCCCAAGTGCTGATGCAGAAGAGGCAGGTGGGGGCCAGCTGAAGGGGGCCACATGGGACTTGAGTAGAAGCAGGAGTCCCCATCACCCCAAAGAGGGGCAGTTAAGGAGGAGCAGAGTGGAAGGTTCTTTCAGAAAGCCTGCCGGCAGTGTCTTATGTGCCCTGAAGCTCCATTCCACTATTTGGTCAGAGGGTAGAGACAAGGCTCTCAGCTCTCAGGGTCTCTTAGTTTCCCCAGCAGTGTGCATTCAGGAAATCACAGGGCTGGAGTGGCAAGACTCAGGACTCTCTCATAACGCTGAAACCTTTGCACTTTTTTTTCCATTTTCCAAGATTGTTCTTTTTCCAGTCAGGACAAAGTACCTCCTTTGGTGAAGAATGTTGTCCTTGAGGAAAGGAAACAAAATTTTGTTTGCCAAAATGAAAGCCAAGAGTGTTCGGGGTTTTAGATTCAGTTCTTCTTGCTTGAGAGATTAGGTACCCACTCAAGCAACTCTATATATTGTTTAACTGAAAGAAAGTATTTTTGTTTTATAAATGTTGCTAGCGCTATGATACTGGAACTGTGCGTTTTCAATGGAGACCTAAAAAGAAATGCCATTATACTTTGTTTTTTATTTTTTTATTTTTATTATTTTATTTTTTACATCCTTGTTCATTTTTAAACAATATTTGCTCTCCGCCCCCCCCCATAGAATACTTTGTAACTATTTTAAATGGCCATTTAGCTTTTAGTTATTAGATAAAATTCTCCTATTAACGCAGTACACAGAGTTTTTTCTCAGCTCACACATGTGGTATAGCTTTGTTAGCTCACAGGTTGAGGGGATCCCCAAACCTGCATGCTCTAAATAGGTTCTACCATCTGCTGCATAAAGGTGAGCATACTCTCAGCTCATAAGACCTTCAATAGAAAAGAACTTAAAGAAATAGTTTGTATACAAAGAAGAAAAATGTTATATTTCCCAATGAAACACACAAAGTTCCCTATCCCCTTGTGGGTAAATGCCTAGTCAAATAGGGTTGAACAAAAGCAGGGCCACTGAAGCCCAAGAACTTGCCACAGTCTAAGGCACCTTCTGGCGGGGATATATAGGAAAAGGGCAGACAGAGCCAGGCAAGTCTGGAAGGAAAGGAGCAAAATCAAATTACATAGTCAGAGAAGATGATTGATTATGATTTTAATAATGAGACTGACACCATAAAATACATAGAAGGAAATATAGGTGAAACACTACATGACATGCACCTCAAAGACATCTTTACAGACACATCACCCAAAGCAGTGATAGTGAAGGCAAAGATAAACAGCTGGGACTACGTCAAATTAAAGAGCTTCTGCACAGTAAAAGAAACAATAACCAAAACAAAGAGAAAGCCCACCAACTGGGAGAACATTTTTGCACACAACACTAATGATAAAGGACTGATCACAAAAATCTACAAAGAGCTGATGAGACTCAACAAAAACAAAGAAAATAATCCAGTCAAAAAATGGGCAGAAGAGCTAAAAAGAAACTTCTCTGAAGAGGAAATGCAAATGGCCAACAGGCATATGAAAAAATGTTCAACATCACTTGTAATCAAGGAAATGCAAATCAAAACTACAATGAGATACCATCTTACACCAGTGAGAATGTCACATGTTAAAAAAACTAGCAACAACAAATGTTGGCGAGGTTGTGGAGAAAAAGGAACTCTCCTGCATTGCTGGTGGGAGTGCAAACTGGTCCAACCACTATGGAGAGCTGTGTGGAGATTCCTCAACCTACTGAAGATAGAGCTTCCATATGATCCAGCAATTCCACTCCTAGGTATTTACCCAAAGGACACAGAAACATCAATTCCAAAGAACACCTGCACCCCTATGTTTATAGCAGCACTATTTACAATAGCTAAGGTATGGAAACAACCCAAATGCCCCAAAATAGATGACTGGATCAAGATGTGGTACATATACACAATGGAATATTACTCAGCAATCAAAAAAAATAAACACACGCAATTTGCAGCAACGTGGATAGAGCTAGAAAGGATCATGCTCAGCGAAATAAGTCAGAAAGAAAAAGAAAAATACCAGATGGTCTCACTCATAGCAAGAATTTAGAAAACCTAAGTAAGAGACCAGGAAAAAGACTAATTAATACAAAGTAAAAATGAAAATCAACAAGCAGCTATAAACCAGAGACACACTATGGGGGGGCGGGGAGGAGTGGGGAGAAGAAGGACTAGGGTCAAAATAAGGGAGGGTGCAATTGTATGGGGAATATAACCAAAATGAAAATGCATACATTGTGCAAAAATGAAAAATGATGTAAGGATTATATAAAATAAAATATTAAAAAAATCAAATTACAAGTCAAAGATAAAGGTTGCCATTGCCAGCCTTCCCTTAGGTCTCTCACCTATGTCTCTTCCAAGTGTCTCCAAAAACTGGCCCCCCAGCACACAAGTTGTGGTCTTCCTTTTTATTATATATTTTGTGCCTAGACTGTAGAATGAACCAATGAAATGCAAACAAAATGAGCCAATAATGTTCATCCGTTCACTAGCTAATCATTTGGTGCCAAATGGGCTGATTGGTCCTAAAATGGTCCAATCAGTCGCTTAGAATTGAAAATGGCTTAATCAGGCAGGTAGGATGGGAGACCCTGAAAGAGGATACAAGGCAAGGCAGGAGCCAGCCAGCTTTAGACACTCTGTTCCTGGCCTCTGAAGAAGGAAGAAAGACTCGGTACCCAGCCTCCGGCAAAGAAAGAAGAAAGAAGAAGCATCCAGCAGCCAACCTCTGAAGGAAGAAAACACTCTATGTCCAGTCACTTATAAGAGTTGTTAACTTCTCCTCATTGTCCGGCACTGCCTCTTGGTGCTGCTGCCTCCATTACTGCCAGGTCCGGTGTTTGGTTCTGCCTGTCCCCATCTTCTGCTGGTCCCCTGTCCCCACCTTCAGACTGTTGCTGTACTGCAGTGGTGTATCTCAGTAGCCCACTTATGAGCATCTCCTGCTGTGGCTGCATGGGCCTGCTGCTTGCTGGCTGTCGCAAGCTCCAGGCCCTTGTTGGTGGGACAGCACCATCTTGGATGAGTGGCCTTTTGTTTGGGACTTCTTTTTTTTTTTTTCAGATTTATTTTTATTTATTTATTTATGCATTCAAGAACTGGGGTATAAACCAGAGGTGCGGGGTGTGAGAGTATTCACCAAAGACAGAGTGGGGAGCAGAACAAGCAGAGCTACTGAAATACACTGCTGAGGGGAGCAGCGGATGAGACAGGAGAGGTCTGCTGCACCATGTGGGTTAGCTCCCTGACTGGGGATCAAACTCAAGTCGTACTGGCTGGCGATAACTTGATAGCCTGAGACTTTAACCCCTGTGCCACCAGGGAGGCCCTTGTTTGGGACTTCTGAAAACTGTGAACACAATCTGGGGTGAGAGAGCTGGCCATTTCTGGCCTTAGAAATTCTTTGTTTTCCTTGTTTATTAAATAAACCCCATTGTTGTTGTCCCCTGAGCATAAGCAGTCTTGCAATTGTGCACACAGGTGAGGAACCCACAGACAGTGATATGTCTTCTATTGGGCACTATCTTTTGACCTGCTACAGCACCTCATAGCATTGTTTCACTTCCATGTCCCCCACGTCCCTGGTACAAGTCCAAAGCCAAGAAGTAAGTGTGGCTTCTTCATATGTCTCTCTGCTCCATGTACCTCCTCCAAGTTTTCTCACTAAGACTCCCCTCCCAAGTCTTTTTTAGCTTCCCCTTGATGCACAGTTCCACCCTTCATGAAATGGGACAGGGTACATGGAACCTCCCCTTTTTAGATTACAGTTACGTGGTCAGCTTCCATAACTACTCCCCAACAATTTACACCCTTACTTTTGTTGGTGACTACAAGATAGAGAAATTAAAATAATTTCATTTTCTTCCAAGCAAGACTTTTAAGGGAAAACTTTGTAATTTCATTTGAAATAAATTTCCAAAATTCAATTCCACAAGTGATTTTACTAGTTACTCACTAATTATGTGTCAGATAACTGCTGGGCACACTGGAGATACAGAGATAGGTTAGACATGGTCTAACAAAGAACTTAAAACATACACATAATACCAAGACATAAGAAACTGATGGTTGTTACAAAAGTGATAGAGATGAACCAACACAGAACACAGAGAAGGAAGAATTCTAGCCAGGTAGTGACTTCATGAAAAATGAACTATTTTGTTTAATCCTATAAGGGAGCAAAAATCTGCCCATCCCACCCATCACCCACCCCCCAGTTTCTCTTTCTGGCAAAAAAAAAGACTGGGTAGAGATTGCTTTTGATATTTATATGTAAGCTTCTCTCCGTAAGGATCTTTCCAAGGAAGAGTATCTCCTTATCTCTTCTTTTGGGGAAGGCAGAAGTTAAATCTCATATGTTTGTCATTTATGCTCTCTCAGTAACCTCTCTAACAGATCTTCCCTCTCCATCTCTCATCCACCTTTCTTGTCTAAAATTATTTAAGATGGTATCTAAGGTCACATGACTAGTTACTCAGTGGTGCTGGGTCTCTCCCATGTATATAAGAGGTATTCATGTTGTTATTAAACATTCTTTTGGTTTTTTTTCCCTTATCAATCTGATGCTTGGTTAATTATTTGCCAGCCTAGGAGAATGCAGAATAATCCCCTTTGCACCTTGGCAAGCCTTAACAAAAGGGTAGAATTTAGCAGGAAGGGGAAAAGAAAAGGTATCTTAGTGAAGGATCATGGATAAAACCCAAAAAAAATCTATGCTTTTTGCAAGCCGTGAGCACTCTGATGTGGGCTACCAAGCCATACAGCTCCCTAGAGGGGTAGTAATGTTACAGGGCAAGGAGAGTGCACCCCACAACCCTAAAACCTGCCCATACTAAGTAGGTTATTCCGTCCTCCACATCAAGACAAAACATACTCTAGTGTGTAAGACCTTCAATGGAAAGGAAATTTAATGCAATTAGTGTGCAATACAGAAAAACCAAAGAAATAATTTCCAAATCCAGCACTCAAAGTTACCCTTCCTCTCTTGGGTAAATGTCCAGTCAAACAGGATTGGCCCAAAACAGGGTCACCGAGGGCCAAAAGCCTCCCATAAGTCTAAAGCACCTTCAGTTGGAGACGCATAAAAAATAGTCAGAAACAGCCAGACAAGTCAGGGAGGAATAGAACAAAATCAAAATCAAGGTAAAAGCTGCCATTGTTAACATCCCCACGGGTCTCTCACCTACATCTGT